TTATTCCATACAATATCGCCCCATATTGCTCCTTTTTCATTGTTTCCAAAACTTTATCGGATCAGCGGACGCCTCTTTTACTATTATCCACAGTTTCTTAAAGAATCCTGCAGCCCATAGTTTTTGTATTATATTCATAAAATTAGCAAAATTCATCTTTAATCTTCTTAATTTTGATTTTTATTTAATAATAAATCACCCCGACTAACTATTTAGTTGGGCCAAACACTAACGATTAATGATAATGAGCTATTGTCCGTACCATAGTCGTACATACTTAACAACCATACCCCTCGAAAAGATCCATGACTAGGGGTGGGCGCTCAAAAGAAGCGATTGATGGAAAGAGAGATCGATTATGACTAGAGATCTGACAGTTCATGCTATGACTCTGATGACTCCATATTCCTCACCTCGATGATAACAAACCATTTAGCAATTACAAATCGGCCATGAATGTGGACCAATTAGGTGGACAATATATTAAACGCAAAAGTTAAAGCCAACTCTAGTTTAAAATAAAGCGTTTACCTATCGAAGTGATGGAAGACACTGAAACAGAACATGCTCCACAGATTAAATGCATGCGTTTATTCGTTGGTTATAAATCATCAAATCCAGCTTTGAAACATTAGAAGTAGAACACCGAAAGAGTGATGCCGGTTATCTCAGATGGATTGATGCCGTGAATCTTTCGCCATCTTGCAACATATAAAACCAAAATCAGAAGGAGGAAAAAAGTTTTAAAAAAGTTTGTTATTCGTTATATGATAATGTTCCCAAAAATATGATAACTTCAGTATGGGTAAATAATTATTGACCCTTCAGAAGTTTTAAGAAAAGCAGAATGAAGAAGTGATCGTCCTTTTGATATATATCCAGGTAAATGATTTCAGTTAGCATTTCAGGCGTGCGATGATTATCCTCAACATCATCTTGGTGATTATCATTCTTAATATTATGTTTTCAGGGATAGCTTTAGTAATTTTGTCAGGTTGAACCCGTTAAGGAGTTGCTGATTTGACAAAATTACGTTTACTGAAGAAGATAATGATGAAAATTATGAAAAGATTTATGAATCATGTTGTATAAATATGATCGCAAATTCAAAAATCGACTTCTGCCAACTTAATTACACAGCTTAGCGCTACACTGCTGGACGCAACAGTTGATGACAGTTATTAGTTTCATGCACAAAGATGAAGTTTTAGAGGATAAAATGCATTACACAGAGATACGTTAATTGAAGAATCGTTAAGCAATACCACGTTTATTTTAGTAAGGACGATCCATTCATGATTCCAGCTCAACATATTGACGTTCGTTCACTTAAATGGAGGTTGCATCACTCCGGAAGGGATTAGCTCAGATTTCTCATAACGCCTTATAATGTTACAGATGTTGTGTTTAACATTTCGAAGAGAATGCAGATGCAAGAACGTTTTAGGAAAATCCAAGCTTCAGGTTTCAGGTCACTATAAGATTCCAGAAACTTCCACACGATCAACGATGACCACAGTGGGTGACATATTCTTTACAACGATCTTCAAGCTTCTGATTAGTGTTGGGTGTAATGAATGCAGCGACAGAAGAATACGAGGATCATTAACTAGAGCCACTGAATGATTGATGATGGGCACACCATTAGCTAGAACATGGAAAAGACAAAATTCATTCTTATGCAACTATTCCAGTCAAGCGTGATTGGAGCGGCTATATTCTGTTGATGGATTAGAAACTTTCCAACTACAAAGTTACAGTAACAAGCTGAAGCTTATCCCATCGATTCGGGTGAAACTGAACTTACTGTTCAAAGTGACAAATCCCTCCTCAGTTTGGTTACTAGGACTAGCATATTGGGACATGAACAAACCGGATGAAGGTTTAGAATATCATCCACTAGGTACACCAACCGAGCAGTATAGGAGTTCATATGAATTAATATTTGATGAATAGAATGTTTAAATATAAATTTATTTTGAATTAAATGAGTTTAAATTATCTCACACCCTTAATGAAGAATTTAGCGAGGAGTATGATATGATGTTATTAGCGAGATGATATGATTAATTGAGCATTGATGATAATTAGAAATTGCTTCTATCGAAGGGAAAAATTAATGACAAATTCCAATCTGAATGTTACTTAAATTCAATACTGCAGCAATTGGGTAACAAAAGATAAAGGGTAAAACATTAACGATATTTGAAAACAAATTATCATTATTTGCTAACACTTCCCATCCATTTCACATGTTTATTTTATACAACCGTTCAGTGTTTCACTTTGTCAGATGATATACATTTGAATCTTTAAAGATTAATGCAAATGAAATTCCAATTATTTATTTATCACAAAAGAAGCAGGAGATCTTTTAAAAACTTGCTAATGTATAAAGATTTATATAATACATCATCCCAGAAGCAAGGATTAGAGGATAAAAATATTGATAAACACGGGGATGAATTATTTGAACCACTTTCGATTAACAATTTGATAGAGAATTTTGACTTCACTCCTATTTTCTAGATGATGCAACGTGAATACTCAAAACTATAATACAAATGACGAAATTATTTAAATCAAATATAACTCAAATGTCGACACTTCAGGTATCATTCCAATAGGCTGTTCAATACTTTTAAGCATTAGCAACAAACATTAAATCAAACCTGCCCTCTTTCATTTTCAGTGTTTTTAGTCGTCAACAGTTGAATCGTTATGCTTTCAAGTGAATTTGCCAGACATGATGCATTATGAAACTTTACACACAATAATCAAATTAGGAAGAAACATTGGAAAAATAATAGTGTTGATTTAAATAAAAGGTTCCATTAAATTCGAATAATTTATAATTATTTTTATTTTTTTATTTATTAATTAAACATGACAGAATGCAAATCTTTCTACAGGTTCCATTAAACAAAGGATACAAACACAAGGGTGCATTATATAGAATATTGAAAGTGTATCCAGATCGGAATGAAAGGAATTAGGTCCACATTGTTGCGGTCTTCAAAGATTTAAACAAAATGAGAAACGTCTTTAATTACCAGAAGCTCAAGCAATATGCCAAACGTCACGGACCAAATTGGGCAAGCACACGAAGCAGACATTACGGGTCCAAATGAAAACCTGATGGGAAAATGAAGTTTTTCGTTACTGATGGTCAAGGAAATTTAAAGCATAAATGGTATAAATTAACAATGACGGATTATCCTAAAACGTTAAGCATATAATGAAACGTAATCCTATGCAATTTGATGAAAATGGAAAAGCTGTTAAACAATACATTGAGAAGGGTGAAAATGGTCCAATTAATTCATACGTCATAATCCATATCTTACTTCAATGAAGAATTAAATGCTATTGAAGAGGGACCGGATGGATTACCACGATATTCTACACGTTTGATGGTCAATATGCAATTTTAAGAGCTGAAATTCCAGCTAAGAATATCTTAAAGTTGCTTTATTCGATCCAGTTTTCGCAAATGTTAAAGATGAATAAACAGCAATTCAACCAATTATAGTAGCAAGAATTGCATCAGTGGCTTTATCTCAAGCATTCAAAGATTTTAATAAGAAACCTTATATCAGCAACGAGGTTTAACTTATGATTTAGTTAAGAATAGATAAAGAAAATTTGAGAAATCAGATATTATAAGAATGCAATTAATGAATATATCGGTCTATTAATTTCGAATGAAAATGCTAAAAATCAACTTCATGAACAAATACAGGAAAT